TTTGAAGGAAGAAATAGCAATTATAGTTATAAATTTAATTTTTTAAGCATGTAACTGCTCGATGTTTAAATCTAAAGAAAATATTACTAGAAAAAACAATATAGCCTGGATAGCGAAGGGTGCGGGTTCAAGTCCTGTCTACTGCCTGGTCCACGTGGTTTTTTTTTCTAGTAATATTTTCTTTAGATTTAAACATCGAGCAGTTACATGCTTAAAAAATTAAATTTATAAAATTAGCGATGATTGCGCGTCTTGGAGTCCTTTTCCTATTGGGACGAAACCTTATAAAGACACTCGTGGATAGCATCAGTGGTTGTGTTGTATTGTTTTCGGTTGTCTAGCCGGGCGCCTCCGGTGTACCGTCCGCCATCTTCCAATAAGGACGTCCGTTTCCTCTGCAGAATTTTGCATATACGAAAGTGCGAAAGGAATAGGAACAAAGAGGTCATTAACTCCTTTTAAACACCGCCAACTTAACAAATAAAGACGAGAAAGTCTTCTAAAATGTGTTAAAGATCCTTGTTGATTTATTATCGTTTACAAAAACTCGATTATTGTCGCCTTAACTTTAAATTTTCAACATCTCAATAGAAATACTAAAAACAAAGGCAAATATTTCTATATTATGTTTTTTTTTTTATGTAACAAGCATCTTTCATGCATATTTGTTTCTTAAAATCAAATAATGGATAAAGCATTAACTTTTAATCGACTAGAAACAATATCTTCCAATATTACTTAATAAATCCGCGTAAATATATTATGTAGCTGCATGCGCATTTTAACTTCATTTCTCACTATTTCGTCCGATAATCTTCTGAATGTATAAAAGAAAAAACTGAATGAGTGACTGACTGACTGACTTATCAACGCATAGTCTAAACCGCCGGGTCTAGGGGTGTGCACTAAGAAAGGTTTTTTTATTTCACCCCCTAGGGCTTAAAATAGGGGATGAAAATTTGTATGAATTAATCTTATTCTTGAGTTAATAGACTTGAAACTTGGCACTGATACTTATTTAAATAAATTTATTAAGTTAGTGATTTTTAGTTTTCCTAACTACGCCCATATATGGGATGGATGCGAGGGTGTCGAAGTTTTTATGTGGACGAATGAGACGCACACTTCGTTTAACTCAAAACCTAGTCATTTTACTACGACCAGGGGGCCATTCGCCTAACGGAAATGCTTTGGAAAACGCTAACACTTTCGATTTTATTTTGTTATTTCTGACCGTCGAAGGTTTTGAAATACCTCACGCTTTTTTTAATATTGTTATTACCAATGCAAAAGAAAAAAAAAGAGCGCTAGGCATTTGAAAACCTCAGGCGGCTAGAAATAACAAAATGAAATCGTAAGCGTTAGCGTTTTCCTAAGCATTTCGGTTAGGCGAATGGCCCCCAGAAATAAAGAAAACGTGTATGAGGGTTTTTCGATAATCTACCCTAAGGAGGTTAAAACGAGGATGAAAGTTTGAATGAAAAATCTTAATCTTTGAATGAATATAAGTACTTAAAACTTGGAACGAATACTTTACTAAATAAATTATACAGTTTGCCATTTTTGGTTTGCCTAAACCCTAAAGAGTGATTGGAGGGTGCCGAAATTTGTTCATGAATAAATTTTAACGCGCGTTTTATTAACTAATTCGAAACTCAGTATTTATATAAAGTTGAATAAATACTGAGTTTCGAGTCAACTCAATCACGCAAAAACTACTAAACGGATTTGGATGAAATTTGGTACATATTAAGTTTATGACCTGGAATGAGACATAGGATACATAAGAACTAAAGATACGGAAGGAAGGACTATTTTTATCCCGGAAAAATATAAAAAAAATGTAAACAGAAAAAACTGGATTCTCAAAAAACTTAACGCGGACAAAGTCAAAAGACTTAAATCGTCAAAGTTCTTTAACGAAACTAAAAAGGTAGTTGGTTGATTTTATTTTTATATTTAATTATGTTCTAGTAGGTTATTGTGTAATCGTGTTTTAATATGAACAACAAATCTGTATAATATTTTAAATGTATTTTCTCCTTTTATAAGAAGCCTAAATCACTTCCAACTTGTGATAAATGTGAGTAGGGTCAGGTCAAGTCATAAACGTAGTTACTGTGATTGAAATATGTACTGCGCCACCTTGGAAGTCCTTTTTAATGCCCGGGAAAGGCGTGACGTCATTGCCAAGAAGCAAAGTATTGCCATGAAGCAAAACATATGAGATTCTTTTCCGTTCAGCTTACAGAAATGGCTACTTAAATTCGATCTTTTGTAAAAAAAAAACATTCGGATTGGAAACCTGCTGTGTTTATGGAAGTCCGTTTAAAATATCTTCCTAGAGGATATTCAAATTTGAGAAAAAAGTCGTCTTAGCCGTATATTATTATCTCTCTTGTTTTATTAAAAGTAATTGTGTAATTAATTTTAGGTTACGTGTTCAATATTAATTTCTACGAAAAAAATTTAATTAAATACTCTGTAATGAGCTCAACTTCAAATAGAAAACATTAGATGCATACTAATGCTATTAATTTCAAAGTCGTTCCAGAGATAAAAGCGAATACTAACCAAGCTACTATAATTAATTGATCTTGACCTCTATCTCTCGATGGCATATTGAAAATGCATACAGAAGAGAAACTACATTTTTAAATGTAGTATAATCCATCAAAAAAATAGCGGACTCTAAATTTAAAAACTAATACAATACTATGTACTGTAATATAGATCTAATATATAAAATTCTCGTGTCGCGGTGTTTGTGGTTAAACTCCTCCGAAACGGCTCGACCGATTTTCGTGAAATTTTATATGCATATTCAGTAGGTTACAGTTACCATTACATTATAATCTGTATTTCATCCCCTAAATGTTAAGGGTAATCACCCCTAATTTTTTTTTTCAATTTTAGATATATTTTTTTATTTTTTTTATGATACAGCATTAGTAAATACATACAACCCTAAATTTTCACCTTTCTACCACCAACCCATATTTTTTTATGGCGGTACGAAGTTCGCTGGGAGAGATCGGACAACATCTATTTTTCATCCCCCTAAATGTTAAGGGTAATCCAACCCTAATTTTTTTTTAATTTTAGATAAAAAAAAACAAAAATTTTATGATACAGCATTAGTAAATACATATATCCCTGAATTTTCAACCCTTTACAATCAACCCCTATTTTACCATCGCGATTTTATTTTTAAAAATTTCTTTTTTTTTCTCAATTCAATTTGATCTTCCGCCTTCACCGGTCGATAACCGATCAACGATCAATCGATCAGTTATCCCCGCTAGATGTCTACCTGGGTCACCTCTCATCCAGCAAACATCACGGAGTAGGGGTGAGAAGGAAGCCGGTCTACTGTCTTCCTCAATATACTATACATATACAGTTTTCGGTCATTTTTTTTTGGTTTCATTTGTGTATCGATCGTAGCAGTGACTTATACGTATTATGTTAATTTTTCTGTGCATCTATTACGTTAATTTTACTCTCATCGTGAATTTATTATTAATTTCCAGTGCAATAATTATTTTTTCACATTTTATTAATAACTGATAAAGACAGTTTTAACTATTAGCCGAAACGGCTCGACCGATTTTCGTGAAATTTTATATGCATATTCAGTAGGTCTGAGAATCGGACAACATCTATTTTTCATCCCCCTAAATGTTAAGGGTGGTCCCTACTTAAACAATTTTTTTGGACCATCATCATACAAAAATACATACAACCCTAAATTTTCACCCTTCTACCACCAACCCCTATTTTTTATGGCGGTACGAAGTTCGCTGGGACAGCTATATAGTAGGTATTTCTATAGATATTCAATATACGGATGGTGACATTGTAATGCTCCATACCTATATAAATAATTATAAAAAAGTGGCTTCAGACTTTCTCATTTCAGAACCAATACAATATTTAAAAAAAAAGAACAAGCGCAAGACACAATAGAACGTAACGTAAGCAGTATTCGAAAATTGAATGCCGTAGAATGAAAACCGAGGTTACCTAAGTGATGCGTGTGGAACTGAATTTTCTTTCATTGAATTAACGTCCTTCAAATTTGTTTGTGTAGCTTTTGTAAAATTGTTTTTTCGTTATATAGTGAAAAGCTCTTCCACTGTTTCCTTTTGTTAATTTGTTGTTAATTTTTCTTTGTATTCTAGATATAAATGCTGATTCATTATATTTACATAGTATTTAATACACCCGTGTGAAGCCGGGACGGGCCGCTAGTATATAATAAAATTTTTAAAAATCTGACTGCCCAGCCAAAAATGAAATAAAAGATAAAAAAGTAAAGTTTTATGAATATTTTTGACCTAAGATAATAAGGAATATCTTGAATTATAGGTCGTGTTTTTCGGTAGCCAAAGATAATATGTTTATTCTGATCAAATGCAGATACGAGTACAAATTAACACATGTACCCTGATAATATTACACTGCTTTTTGGTTTAGTAAAGTTAACACTCAAAGATAGGCATTTATAATAATGATCAGTCACAAGCTCTAAATACTGTTAGATTTTCACTGTGCATCGATGACACAGCTCGGAACGTGTAAATGCATAGATTTCAATAGCTTTCTCCACAATCCTATTGCTATAAACCTTCAAAGGATTCCGTTGGAGATAAGTGGGCGGAATGCAATTTATTCACTTGGTATGTGTCTAGTAATATTTTACACATCGCAGCCATATTTAGAAAGGCTACTATAATTTCCATGTAATATCGTAGTTAAGAATAAACGTTGCAAAACTTTGAATGAAAAATATTTTCATTTATAAAATTTGAGTTGTCACTTTATGGTTTCAAGCAATAATATAATGTGTACATAATTATGACTGTAAAAATAAGTATTTAACTGTCGTTGGAAAACTTTAATCTGATTTTAGATAATCAGGATCTTTTAGCAATCTGCCTTTGATCATCAAAAAGTTGAGATTGTATATTTATATCATTTGCGACAAATAGACTTACCTAAGAAGTAGATTGAAAGAACTATCGTTTCTTGTGGTCGGTATGTCTTTTACGCTAGATGGCTCACTGCGGACGCCACGGAGGGAGAGCCTCAGTTGCCTCGGGATAGAGCTCAGGAGGCCACTGCTGTTCCTGCGCTGGTTCAAGCTCTTCGAGCGCGTCAGCTTGTTCGCCTCCAAATCACTAACCCTCGGGTGAGACGACACATCCCCATTCCTGCAGATCGTCTCGCATGACGCGTCAGTCTTTATTATCGTAGGAATACTCTTCTCCTTCACCAACAATTCGTCCCATGGCGACGCAATGTCTTCCTCCGAGATCGTCTCGAAGCTTCTGAGACCGACCGTAGACGAAGTCTTGTCAGACATCTTGGGAAACACTAAGGGCAAGAGCGAAACAACGGAACGTAGCAATACAGACGCCTACAGGGCACTTCGTCACTTGGGATTTTTAGTTTCTTGACAACACTTCACTCTTATCATAATATCCATTTGTAAATCATAATGCTTGGGGTAGAAATGTTGACACTGTAACAATGGAGAAAACCATATAAATTAATCTTTAATCAAACACTAATAAAATAAACGCCCTGCAAATATAATAAGGAACAGATAAAGACATAAATATAATAAATAAAAATATAATATAGGCATATATTACACGTGTTGCAAAGACGTCTTGTGAAATATCTTCAGTGCAACTCCCACTAGTAAGAGAAACCTATGATATTCTAACAAGTAAAACTTATATAAATATTGAATGCACATATATAATGTTTATTGCATGATAACTCTCATCTTTATTATAAATCGAACGTGTGGGCATAGTGCTCAACTGCAGACTGGACGAGACTTTCAAAAGTGCTGATAATTAAATATTGTTTTGTTTGAAGAGAAAGGAGTAAGTATAAAACCAAACAGACTTGAACACAGCAAATAAAATTCAGTTGGATTTGATTACTACACACACAGACTTCGGTTTGTCTAACCAACAATTAGAACCGAATTCTACTTGAGATTATAAAAAATAATTTGCATTTAGAAATTTTCGAATTGCACGTGCGGGAATACAAACCATTGCATTTATGTAATTTATACGAAGAGAGCGATGAGATAAAATGTATCACACTTCTAAAGAAAAAAAGACTGATAATATAGTGTTTATAGAGACTAGCTATCAAAAATAGTTTATGTAATTTTGTTATGGTCGTTAAACTGGATTTTATGGATAATAATTTGTCAGTAACTAGTGGGGATGTATGCGGTTACTTTTTGCAGCCTAAGTATACTTTAATTGCATCTAATGATAACTGTGATATTCGCGAAAGTGAAACATGCCCCTAATGCGAATTACGCACTAAAGCGAGCCATATTTGAGTGAGTGGTGAAATCGGTCCAATTCTGTACGCAACTTTTACTACATGCCGCGATGATACTAAAATGCATGTATCATATTGTCTTGGTTTCTAAAGCTAAAATATGTCTAAAGATTTTCGCATTTATGATGATGGCGACATTCCTTTGGTAGTAATCTGTCTTTTATGAAAAATGCTTAAAGCATTGACATAGTCAATTCATACAGACATAGTCAATTGTTAACATGGAACTTGAAGATCCTAATAATCTGAAACTCATATAAAAAATCACAAACGTCGATTTCGATACTACGACATGATACCACCACTGACTACAAGAATGGTGCCAGAATTTAAAACAACCCGACATTTAATATAATGCTTTTTCGTGTTCGGATTGTCGATTGTTTTAATGAAATACGTAGTATATTATTGGTAGATATGTATTTATTTATGTATATATTTGTGTGTATTAAATATGTCGCTATGATGTATATCTATATATGTATGTATGTGTAGGTATAAGCAATTAATGCGATTTAATTTCGTTTTTATCACTGTTTGATGTTTATTCTGTTCGTTGTCTGCCGTTTAATTTTTTCTGCACCTTCTTTCCGGTTGACTGGTAGAGAATGCCATACTGGCATTAAGTTCGGCATTTGCGTTGTGAAAGCAATAAGGATTAAATAAATAAATAACGCTTTCGCAACTTAAACATACGAATCTATATTTATATTGCAAACAGAATTAAGAAGAATAAAATGGTTTGCCGGAAGACAGTTCTAATTTAGTGTAACGTTATACTGGGCAGTCGTCATCTACTCGGTAACAGCGTGGTATCGTCGTCGTATTTTAGATCATCGCGCATGCCAAGTGTCCCGCAGACCGAATGTGGGTCAATGCTCCAGAGTCCTCTGATTCACGTACGACCCAGCTTGTGGATGCAAAGTTAAAGAAAACACTTAACTTTTTGTAAGTAATATTAGGAACAAGTAAGACATAGAAGTAATATTGCTTAGGAGATACGTAGATAGATCAGGCCAGTAGTAAGTGATATGTCAACAAAAATTGATTTTGTCGACAATAAATTAATATTGACCCTCGACTCGTCGCGCTTTACTATCGTAAGAATTTCAATGCGCTCCTCTAATTTTAGACATATCTACAAGAGATTAAAAAGATGAACTCTTCGACTTGGCTAACACGACTTGTTTCGTAACTATTTCGTGGATCATACATAATTTTTGTTATGACCGGCCTTAGAACTAGTAACTTCTTATAATATAAGCTTAATAGTATAATTATAAAAATCGATTTCATACGTTTCATATGAATGTGAATGAATAGAATATCTTTAGTGCTTACTGAAAGATTTTGCTATCATGGTGTTTGACGCAAATTATTAACACTACCTCATATAAAAACAGAATGTAAAACGTTTTTATTAAAATAAGTTAATTAAATGCAAATTTTGTTTTTCTCAACGGAATTCAATTCGTGGATTTTATTTCCAATTAACCTCAAACTTGGTAAGTACTTGAATAACCGGATGATTAATTAAATTTCCACTTTCAAACATCCTAGTGAATTCAATCAAGTAATCAAAAGCCGATAAAAAACTAAATCACCAAGACCATATCCATTCAAAAAAGACGATTTTCCTTTACTCATCTCCATTTTAAATTCGCTTGTATGGTAGATGTATTGCTGAAAATGTTTAGAGATATTTTATAATTGTAATCAATAACGTTTTAACCCATATACCAAATTTTCACTCTTCAAATCGAGAAATGAGGAAGTTCCATAAAACTTTCGCCAACCCCTTCGAAGAAGAGTTTGCTAAAATCTTTTCATAACCGTTGTCATACTGAACTTATAAAATCTCATTCGTATCAAATATCACCGTCATAAGTCAAGTAGTTTTTGAAATTTCGCGAATAGTCAGTGAATAAATGAATGACATATTTTACGAAGATTATATTTATTGATACATATTTTTTACTGTAATACTATTAGTAAGTACGCGGGAAATATTGTCGTAGGAGTACTACAACAAAGCGGCTGTAATCCCGCAAGCTGACGATGATGTGTAAATTCGAAGTAAAAGCAAGGTTTTCTATATACATAACAACTTGGCATATCCCTTGCGGATTGGCATTGCTTCAAAGGAAAAGACGATGCAACGAGACAGATAAAATAATGTCTTCAGTATATGTCCAATACCATAGCTTCTTCTACGCCAAAACATTTGGCAAAAACTTCTGGATAAGTTGTTGTTATATCAGTGAAAAGTAAACAGTCGATAGATTAAAATTTATCAATTCATCAAATATGTTCAAGTAAAGCATGGATATATGGTCAAAAATCGAAAGAAATAATGATATTTCACAATGTTATAACGGCGCAAATCTTGTTATAGTGTACGTCTTTCTACTACAGCAGAAAAACTAAGAAGAATACAATGCCAATCAGTTATCAGGTATGATTAAGACGTTCAGTTATAGCAAAGGAAAAATTCTAAGTCGTGCTTGTGAATGAACAAAAACAGCTCGTGCTGAATTAATCGTTTTACAGGTGGTTTGTATACAAAAGAACCGGTGAGACATAAGGATGTAATTACCTACGCCAAAACATTTGGCAAAAACTTCTGGATAAGTTGTTGTTATATCAGTGAAAAGTAAACAGTCGATAGATTAAAATTTATCAATTCATCAAATATGTTCAAGTAAAGCATGGATATATGGTCAAAAATCGAAAGAAATAATGATATTTCACAATGTTATAACGGCGCAAATCTTGTTATAGTGTACGTCTTTCTACTACAGCAGAAAAACTAAGAAGAATACAATGCCAATCAGTTATCAGGTATGAGTAAGACGTTCAGTTATAGCAAAGGAAAAATTCTAAGTCGTGCTTGTGAATGAACAAAAACAGCTCGTGCTGAATTAATCGTTTTACAGGTGGTTTGTATACAAAAGAACCGGTAAGACATAAGGATGTAATTACCAAAGAATGCAGCATTAACATAACTAGAAGAGACTCCGATATAGATCGCTAATGGATGGGACTGCAAACGTGCCTGCTTGTGACTGACTTTATCTACAGTCACGTTAATGGAACTACGCCTCACCACAGACAATAGAATATAGTGAAGTATCAATGTTTAAAATAATCTCTGCATGCTATGCTTATGCGGTCATGGCACACGTTTAGAAGATTATGCAAGAAGCGTAACGAGCTAATGCATGTGGAAAATGTAACTAGAAGTTTCTTTAAAAAAGATTCAATCAATGATCGTATTGATTTTATTATATAAAATAGAAAATGGAAATAGGATGAAGAAGATTTTAGGAAAAGCCAAAAAAAGCTTACATGTCTGACATGTCTTTGGCACAGGAGGTCCGCGAAGACGCTCATCGAAAGATCGGAATAATTAAAAAGAAAAAAAAAATAGAAGTTTCAATATTGATATTACTATCGTAATTATTTGGACTTAATCTAAAGCAAATTGTTTGCTTTCAAAAATTTAAGTGGAGAGTTAGACAAGTCCATCCGTCCGTATGTCTGTGGTGCTGTTTCAGCGGCCAAACCGTAAGAGATAGATAAAGAGAATGTTTAAGCTATAAGTTAAGAATAGTCTGATAAGACTACAAACCGCATTTGAGTAACGTAGCACTTCCGGTTTTCGAGAAATCACGAATTTCAAACGAAACCACACAAAAACTCCGAAGTTCTCAATTAATTAAATACATTCTTTTTTTTTTAGGTTTTGGTAAACATTTGGTTCACTGGTTTGCTAGTTTATTAATAATCCCTAACTTTAATTCAAATATATAATTATTTGAGGTTTTTGTAGATCTCGGTCAAGTTGATTACATATAGAAAAGAAAATATGATTATAAATAATGCAACCAACGGCTTGACCTATTAAAATCCAAATTATAGTACATCTGGAAAATTTGCGGGTCTGTTGCAGTTTCCAATAACCACAACATTTTGCATGAATAATCTTGTCCAATATTTAAGTTAATTAATAAAATGTGACTTTTTGTTTTTTTTTTATTTGGATGAAACTTAGTACGCATATAGTTTATGACCTGGATTGAGGTATAGAAT